TATCCCATCCTAAGTGCACACACACAGCAGTGAACACACACACACCGTGAACACACACCCGGAGCAGAGTGTGTGTGTGAGTGTGTGCAGTGTGTGTGTGTGCAAGTGTGTGCAGTGTGTGTGTGCAGTGTGTGTGAGTGTAAGTGTGTGCAGTGTGTGTGTGTGCAGTGTGTGTGAGTGTGAGTGTGTGCAGTGTGTGCGGGGTGAATATAATAATAAGAATATAATAGTATATATAATAATTATTATTTTATAATACTGTATAATATAATGTATAAAGTAAATATATATATATATATATGTGTGTGTGTGTGTGTGCAGTGTGTGTGTGTGTGTGTGTGTGCAGTATGTGTGTGTGCAGTGTGTGTGTGTGTGCAGTGTGTGTGTGTGTCCAGAATTTACGTGCATTTTAAAGGGAAGGTTGTTCTGTTAAAAAATACACAATTATGATTACAAAATAAAATATACAGAATATATAGCTAATTTTCAGTTGTCTGTAGTATTTCAAGGTTTGTTTTGTATTTGAACCTAAATTGTAAAGTAATGAACTGCATTTAAGTTCGCTGTTCCTGCATTTCTGACTGTAAAGGTAATATTTGGAAGCAACAGAAATGAAATTGTCTAAATTAAATGATTGGACTAAATTAAAAAGACAACATTATTTGTGCTTTAATAACAGTTTGTGGTCCAGTTTGCTTTTGTTTTATTGTTAGTAAAACCCTTATTAAAACATGAAATGGCAATCACTATAATTGGCTGTGAGAAAGAAATTGTCTAAATTAAATTATTTAAAGTGCACCTATTATGCCCCTTTTTACAAGATGTATTATAAGTCTCAGGTGTCCCCAGAACGTGTCTGTGAAGTTTCAGCTCAAAATACCCCACAGATAATTTATTATATCATTTAAAAATGCCCATTTTGAGTGGAAGCAGAAACGGGCTGTTTTTGTGCGTGTCTCTTTAAATGCAAATGAGCTGCTGCTCTGTATTAGATTGTATTAAGTGACAGCAGCATAATATACAGTACCTATACCTATACAGCATAATATACAGTACCTATACTGACCGCTGTTTGGGTCTACGCTGTTAATATGACCCAAACAATAAAATACACGCAGAAAATCACTCACTGCTCTGGACTGAACAACTTCTATAGCTCTAATAAGAAGAGATTTCTTACTTGAATGCTGCTTTTAAATGCTCTGAGTCTGGCGTGAAGATAAACATGGCAGATAGTGTGTGTGTGGCTCACTAAGGGCGGGGTCACGGCTAATACGGCGGTGTCAATCAACCATCGTGGGCGGGGCTTGTGAAGTGTGACGTCACACTTTACAGATTCGTGATCAGTAAACTCTGAGACACACTGCTCATGATTTATAGAGATTAAAAAAAGGAGTGGGTGGATTTTTATCATTATAGGGTGGTTGTGTATACACTGCCTACACAAATTTACGTTCAAACAACATGTAAAAGTGAATTTTGCATAATAGGTACCCTTTAAATAAATAATAAATGTCAGCATTATTTGTGTTCTTACAATAATTTTTGATCCCGCAGAACTGAGGTCAGGTTATTTTGGTTTAGTAACAACCCTTATGAAATATGAAATGGTTACCATAGTTAATGGAAATATCATGGTTACTACAGTTAGTTTCACCTCTGTAAATATGCAGTAATTAAGCATTAGTCATTATTGTCAAAAAAATCTAATGTAATTTGTTTAAATTATGAAATGCAATCTAATTTCTGTGATTTGATTTTGTTTCCTTTTTATTATGGTCTGTTACTTGTTTTGAAAGTGTTTTATAAGTGTTATTTCCCCCCCACCCCATAAAATGTCCTGCATTACTTTTTATATTAATTATTAACTTGTGTGTGATGTTTATTTAATTATGACTATTATTAATGCTCATTAAAAGCATATCCTGTAGTTGTGCATTGACCTATTTACTGAAAATCATTAATTTCTTGATCTGCACAACTTTTTATATATAAAATCCCTTTATTGCATAGTGAGTTGTCTATGCTTATCAATGACATGGTTTTTTTCCCCTTTTAATCAGCAAATATTGAATAACTTTTCAGGCTTTATTTCAATTACAGCATTTATATGCCCTTTTATGCAGCAGCAGATCAGCCAAAGGTCAGTCTGCAGATAAGACCTGAGGAAAACCCCTCTAGAAAAATAACAAACATACAATGCACAAGAAAAATCACCGCCACTTGAAACCAAAATGCTAACACTTTCATTTCTCAACTGTTGCATGGACATAAAAAAGCCTCACATGGTCAAAAGGAGACACGTGGTGGCGCCCTCTGCTGCCAGCGGCATGTGTTTGCAAGGTTTAGGAGTTAATAAGTGCCACTGCTCAATAGTATGTTCCTGCACAACCGGAGGCTGCAGTTCTAGGACCGCAGTTCTAGGACCCTATGCTTTTGTAACAGCGCCACCTACCGAATTGGATCACTAAAGACGGACGACATGGACAGCAATCAGAGTGAGTAACTTTACCGATTTTCAATTAAGTTTTATTTTGCAGGTATTACACACTTTGTAATTAACATCTGATGCGTTTATAAATAAAAAATCACAATTGAAATAAAAAAAAATGTTCCTGAGATTCAATATCTTTAACAACATGTACAAACATTACTACAAACTAAACCAGCAGGGTCCTAGAAATGCGGTCCTGGAACTGCAGCCTCCGGTTGTGCAGGAACGCCCTTCTCCCACTGCTAGAGCAAATCCTCTGATTGAAGGCCTCAGAGAGCAAAGGCCTACTGGCGGCACAGTGCGCTCGATTCGCTACTTTTGTTTTTGTGCTTTGAATGATTACAGCTTAATTCAGTCCCATATCCAGCTGGTTTATTTCGTATTTTTATTGAGATGCTATTTAGATACAAAATGCCACGTAAATCAGACTCTCTGGACTAAAGGGAATTTATGAGTTTCTGCATCGTGTTGAATCTGCCGAGCTGAACTCCGCGCTGACCAACATGCGCGCTACTTGTTACTGAGTCGGTGTGAGAGGGCGACAAGAAGTTTGAGCCCCGCATAAGTATGTGTGGATTTAGCTAACGTTTTCGATGGGGTATTCCCTTTGGAAACCACAGGCGCAGAAAACGAGCCGTTTTTAACTCGTCGCCGGGAGGACAGCGCTATCCGAGGCATGGAGGCGGATTTAAAGGCTGTTGTGAGGCGGATCTGCTAAACTAGCACAGGCTAGCTAACACAATCTCTTCATCATATGCGCGGAACTGGATTACAACTCGAGGCTTTTATTGACTCCGACGAGGCTTTTTAGGGATTTATCCGATTGATGTGTGTCGGATTCGGTGTGATCTGGAAGGGAACGGTCGCTGTGGGAACACACAGACGCTAACGCTAGCTGTGCTATAATAGCGCTTAAAGTGGGTTTCAAATGTTTAGCTTTGTGTAACACCGGGGACTGAGACGCGAGCGATACAAGTGGGATATTAAATGCCGAACCCAGATATCGTTCCCCGCGAGGGCCGGGGGAGAAGCCCGCCGCCGCAGAGGAGTCCGAGGGAGGCGACGCGGAGCAAGAGCCGCCGCGAGCGGCACCGGGAGAAGCGCCGGTCCTCCTCCTCCTCCTCCTCCCGGAGAAAGAAGCACAAGCACGGCTGGGAGAAGCAGCAGCAGGAGGTGGTTTACGACGGGGATGTTCGGACTTTAGTGGAGTACGACGACGTGAGCTCGCAGTCCGAGCGTTTCTCCGGTAGCCCGTCGCCCAGAACCGGCACGCCGTCCGTGAGCGAAGCCGAGCTGCAGGACTCCAGCTTCACGCCGGGCAGAAGCGAGCACGACTCCTTCTCTCGGAGGAGAGACGAGAAGCGAG